TCTGTCTCTCTCTCTCTTTCTCTCTCTCTCTCTCTCTCTCTCTCTCTCTCTCTTTCTCTTCCTTTCTGTCTGTCTCTTCCTTTCTGTCTGTCTCTCTCTCTCTCTCATTATCTCTTCCTCATTCTTTCTATCAGTCTCTTTCTCTCTCGCTCTCTCTCTCTCGCTCGTTCCCCCTCTTTCTCTCTCTCTTTTTCTCACACACTCTTTATCATCATTATTATTCTAACTTTCTTACATTATTGAAATTATCATTGCATAAATAATTAATGCTTTTATTACTATTTTTGCATCAACGACAACATCATCAACGACAACAGCAATAATAGAAACAACAGCAGCAACAACCACAACAACAACCACAACAACAACAACAACCACAAGAACAAAACAACACAGCACCACTACCAACAGCAACATCATCATCATCAACTACAAAAACACCACCATCCCCACCACCAGCAGCAGAATAATACACAACAACAACAACAACAACAAAAATCACCCTACGACAACATCATAGTACTGTAACACAACCCACCTGCAGTCTCCGCGTTTGGCGCCAAAATCTGGTGAGCGCGGGAACATCTAGGTCACTCTCTGCTGCCGATCCAAGGGACGACTGATGACGTCATGTCGGAGAAGCATCATCACCACTGGTGGTAAATAATCCGTCCAGCCCATTTCTGTACTACTGCCAGGTTCAACTTAGTTGTCTCAACGGTTCACCTGTCTGGGGAAAAGAGTATTTCAAAACTATTAGTAAAATGGAGTTATTTCCTAACTGTTTTAAACATTAATTTATCAAACATTTTAAAAAAAGTTTTAGTAAGAGTTTTACTAATAGAGAAAGCGACAGGCAAATTTCTTCTGACGCACAATGCGGAAAAAAAGCAGTAGAGAATATTGTAACAACAGGCAAGTTTGATGGAAAGAGAGGCAAAGGCAGACAGAGGGAATATACTAATATACTGGACAAGGTGACGACATGGCTCGGAGTTAGCAAAAACAACTGACATCATTGCTGCAACGCAAGACAGAATTAAGTGGAGGTCCATGATCGCCCACGCCAATCGGCAAGGCACCGGATGATGATGATGAAGAGTTTTACGGCACTTGCAACACAATAAGGTCATATAAGTTCCGAAAATTAGAGGTGTTACAAGAGAGTAACAAACACAAAAAAAGAAGGAGGAGAGATCAGGATGATAGACGTTTCATAGAAAAGAAGGAGCAAACCACATTAAACGAGCTCTCTTGACTTAATAATCCTTTAATAATTCCATTTATTTATTTCAATGTTTAATCGTCTCAACGTTTTATTTTCTACTGAAAAAAAAAATCTCTTTTAAAACTGTTTTTAAAATCGAGTTCTTTAAAATGTGCTGTTCTTTTTTCTTTTCAAATCGAGTTATTTTAAAACTGTTTTAAAAATTGAGCTACCAAGCAGGAATTCTTCATTAAAAATCCTTATAGTAAAGTTGTTTACTTCGACAATTAACTGTCTCGAAGTGTCAGATCTTTTTTTTTACCTAAAAGAGAATAATATTTTAAAACTATTATTTTTAAATCGAATTAATTTCAAGACCTGTTACTTTCTGTGTAAAAGAAACTGCATGTGTTTTAAAACTGTTCTAAAAATCAGAGTTATGAAGCGGGGATTTTCATTAAGAAAGGTTCCTTCCCGAATAGAGACAGAGGTACACAAAGGATAAAGGTTTAGCTACTC